AGCCCCCCTCATTAATAATCATGAGCAGGTGACGTCACTCCACATGGGTGGGGGGCGAGGCGCCTCCTCCCCCATCCTCGGCGTCAACTCACAACCCTCACTACCAAAGGCAGAACCCTCACGTCACGTGATCTCCGTAACGCTGTTGAGACATCAAAGTAAAAAGGACGTCGTGATGAACAAGGGATTATAACTTTAAAATGAAATAGGTCGGTGTCACCGCGCCCTTACAAACTGCACACGCGTTGATGCAATGAATACATCACGTCGCGGTCTGTGCTTTTCGCTTGCAAGTTTCAGATTTACTGAAATACACCCGCCCTTGGACGGGCAAAAGAATAGTCAAATATGTTAAATTATTCAATTATTCACCGCAGTCCATAAGCAATGAAACATACTTACACATTCATTAATATAACACATTGCAACAATTTCGATTTAAAGCTTTCGTGACTGCAAGGATTCACCTTCTTCGGTCCTTTCGGTAAAGTCACGTAGAATGAGAATACAACAATAAAATAAGACAATAAAATCCTCGCGACGTTTCGGCCACAACACAGGCGGCCTTCCTCAGGTGAACAAACAGAGTCTATCCAGGAGACAGAGCCCGAGTGGACCCCGTCATGCCAGGACTGAGTCTTAGTAAGGCTGTGGTGGGCGGAGTTAGATTAGCATGTTTACCAGTCCCCACCCGGGGCGGAGGAGGGAGGGGGACTGGTGGAAACAAACACTAATCGTTCCAAACCAACTGCCGCAGCCAAGGGCTGGTGGGAACAAACACTAATTGTTCCAAACCAACTGCCGCAGCCAAGGGCTGCTGGGAACAAACACGAATTGTTCCAAACCAACTGCCGCAGCCAAGGGCTGCTGGGAACAAACACTAATTGTTCCAAACCAACTGCCGCAGCCAAGGGCTGGTGGGAACAAACACTAATCGTTCCAAACCAACTGCCGCAGCCAAGGGCTCGTGGGAACAAACACGAATCGTTCCAAACCAACTGCCGCAGCCAAGGGCTGGTGGGAACAAACACTAATTGTTCCAAACCAACTGCCGCAGCCAAGGGCTGCTGGGAACAAACACTAATCACTCCAAACCAACTGCCGCAGCCAAGGGCTGGTGGGAACAAACACTAATTACTCCAAACCAACTGCCGCAGCCAAGGGCTGCTGGGAACAAACACTAATTGTTCCAAACCAACTGCCGCAGCCAAGGGCTGCTGGGAACAAACACTAATTGTTCCAAACCAACTGCCGCAGCCAAGAGCTGGTGGGAACAAACACTAATCGTTCCAAACCAACTGCCGCAGCCAAGGGCTCGTGGGAACAAACACGAATCGTTCCAAACCAACTGCCGCAGCCAAGGGCTGCTGGGAACAAACACGAATTGTTCCAAACCAACTGCCGCAGCCAAGGGCTGCTGGGAACAAACACTAATTGTTCCAAACCAACTGCCGCAGCCAAGGGCTCGTGGGAACAAACACGAATTGTTCCAAACCAACTGCCGCAGCTAAGGGCTGCTGGGAACAAACACTAATTGCTCCAAACCAGCTGCCGCAGCCAAGGGCTGCTGGGAACAAACACTAATTGTTCCAAACCAACTGCCGCAGCCAAGGGCTCGTGGGAACAAACACGAATTGTTCCAAACCAACTGCCGCAGCCAAGGGCTGCTGGGAACAAACACTAATTGCTCCAAACCAGCTGCCGCAGCCAAGGGCTGCTGGGAACAAACACTAATTGTTCCAAACCAACTGCCGCAGCCAAGGGCTGGTGGGAACAAACACAAATTGTTCCAAACCAACTGCCGCAGCCAAGGGCTGGTGGGAACAAACACGAATTGTTCCAAACCAACTGCCGCAGCCAAGGTGCACCGCCGTGTACCGAGCTGCACCATGACATGACTGCATGTTACAACGTAGACAAATTCACCTTTGAATTAGACAACGCGTTACTTTGTGTACTACCCTATACTTTAGACTATAAAAAAAAATATTAGACATTGTAACATTATACTACGTCTTATTCTATGAAGCCAACTATATACCACACCAATGTATATTCACTATGCAATTACGATGCTATATCTTGCCTTATGAGTAAAGTTACACATTACAATGTTATTCTATTAATTGTTATGCTCCATGTTACAAACCATAACAATAACCATGGTGTGAAAGGTATTAAGAGGCAATGCCAGCGAAAAAGGGCTGCGGTCTGAAGGTCACCGTGAAATACAATTAATTAAGAACCGAAATGGTTTAAAACATCTTTCCAATGGTTACTAAGCCAGAATCCATCTTTTCGGTTGAAATTGTCTCTGTGCTTGTATATGTGGATGGCCTCATGAATAAATCTCTCATGGTAGCCGATTGGCTTGCAAAGGACCTCCGTCTTGGAGAAGCCAATGTCATGTGAGCCCACTGAATTATAACAGTGATCTGCCACGGCAGAGGAGTTCGTCCTACCGTGCTTCAAGTCTGCTTTATGTTCGTGGATGCGGTCTGAGATATGTCGTTTGGTTTCTCCAATGGAGCTGCTACCACAGAGGCACTTTAGTTTGTAAACACCCGGGTACTGTATGTCTGGAACAGCATCTTTTACAGATGGAACCAGATCACGGATTTTATGTACTGTGTTGAATCGGACCTGGATCTTGTGTTTATTCAGGATTTTGGAGATCTTTTATGTGACCCCCGCAATGTAGGGTAAGGTGATGGTTTTGAATGGCTCTTCAAGGGGGTCCTTCTTCATAACTGGAGTGATGGCTTTGCAGATTGTGTAGTCGGAGTAACCATTAGCCTTGAGAGCTTGGTGTACGTGTTTGAGTTCACTGGCAATGTGATCCTGGTCGGAAATGCATTGGGCTCTGTGGTATAGAGTCTTGATGAGGGAGTTCTTCTGGGATGGATGGTGGTGGAAATCCGGTTTCAAGTAAGCATCCGTATGGGTCGCTTTCCTGTAGACCGAGTGGCTCATTGAACCATCAGGTCTCCTTTTAATTAAGACATCCAAAAAGGGTAGTTTGCCTTCTTTTTCGACCTCCATGGTAAATCTGATGGCTGGGTGTATGGAGTTGATGTGGTCGAGGAATTGGTCTAGAGCAGGTAAGCCATGTGGCCAGATAACAAAAGTGTCATCTACGTACCTCTTCCATAAGGTCGGGCGTAGAGTGGCAGTCTGGATGGCGTCAGTTTCAAATTTTTCCATGAACAAGTTGGCTACCACTGGAGATAGGGGGGAGCCCATTGGGTTCCGGTACCTGACACCATCGCTATCATTGAAGACCTGGTTCATCAACGACTACATACGGAGGTACCCCCCCCCCCCCCTTGTGAGACATTGCTTAACCAACACATACTTCACCTGGAATGGAACTTTCTACAAACAGACTGATGGCACCCCCAATGGGCTCCCCCCTATCTCCAGTGGTAGCCAACTACCACTGGAGACGCCAATTTGGAATAATTAGTGTTTGTTTCCACCAGCCCCCCTCCCTCCTCCGCCCCGGGTGGGGACTGGTAACATGCTAATCCAACTCCGCCCACCACAGCCTTAATAAGACTCAGTCCTGGCATGACCGGGTCCACTCGGGCTCTGTCTCCTGGGTAGACTCTGTTTGTTCACCTGAGGAAGGCCGCTTGTGTTGTGGCCGAAACGTCGTGAGAATTTTATCGTCTTATTTTATTCTTTTATTCTTTTATTCTCATTCTACGTGACTTTACCGAAAGAACCAAAGAAGACATTTCAGCAAGATAACACTCCATACGCTGCCTCTAATTATACCACAAAATGACCTTGATATGCTTTTCTTTTATCCACAACTCACCCAGAGTGAATTCCAAGGATTGCATCAATCTCAGAAATCTGTGATGCCAATTTATTAATCATACAATGGCATCCCCTACATGCCCTACCGCGGTCTGTGTCTACTACCCCTACCCTGCACCTCCGATCAGCAGTTGGCTACGTACGGTGCAAAATAAGTTCAACATGCATACACAAAGAAGTGCCCCGACCAGCTCTACTCCTCCCTGGCGCGGTGCGAGGGATCAGGCGAGCTGCGTGTGTCACAGTGACACGGCACATTGTGTCGGGGCGAGGCAGGGGGAGGATGGATGTAGCAGGTGGATTGTATACAGAAGGGGTAGCAGCAGCAGGAGGAGGAGGAGGAATCTGCATCTGTAGCTGCAGGCATGGCTCTCTCCTCCTCTCCCCTCTCATCATCATCATCATCCCAGACATCCAAGGCCTGGTCATTCCCCCTCCCTCCATCCACCTCCTCCCACCTCCTCCCACCTCCTCCTCTCCCTCCTATCTGAACTATATACAAAGTAAAACCTTGGATTGCGAGTAACTTGGTCTGCGAGTGTTTTGCAAGACGAGCAAACATTTGTAAATAAATATTAATTTGATAAACGAGCGAGGGTCTTGCAATACGAGTAGTAGTACGTGTACACGCTTGGTACTGCCGAGCGTCACGTGATCACAACTGATATACGAGCGCCTTGATATACGAGTGCTTTGGATTACAAACACGTTTCCGGAACGAATTACGCTCGCAATCCAAGGTTTTACTGTATATATATAAAAAAAGAATTGGCAGGTAAGGTCCCACTGAGCTACGTAGAACCTTCTTTCAGAAGCGACCTGGCAATCACAAATGATAGCTCAACGAAGTGGAAATGCGTAGCAGCCAAATCGTCTCAACGCATGTTCACCAGAAATGCGGCCACGGGGAGAACACGCAATCTCCGAATATACAGCCATCAGGGTCGGGATCGAACCCACCGCCCTCCCGTATACCAGGCGAGGTAGTTAACATCTCCTGGCACCACCCACCACCAAAATCCACGTGACCACAGGGAGAGAGTGAGAGAGGGAGAGAGTGAGAGAGGGAGACGCACAAACACAAAATTGACAGCAGCAGGCATCGTCAGGGTCCGCGATGGAACCCCACGGAACCTCCCAGCGTGCCATCTCCCGTGCCGACGGGCCGCTCCCACCTGGTTGATGGTGTTGGCGGCGCACGACGTCAGCCCGGTGCCGAGCGACGCCAACAGCAGGACGGCGGGGTCGAAGGTCACCGGCGCCATCGCGTAGCCGGCCGCGGCGGTGATGACCACGAGGGCTGGGGCGGGGCGGGGCGGGGGGGGGGGGGGGGGGGGGGGGGGGGGGGGGTGTGTGGCCCAGCGAGCGATCAGCGGTGGAAACAGGACGGGCCCGCGGTTAGCGGACGCGTCAATGCCGACGGAGGCGAGACCCCCCCCCCCCCCCCCCCCCCCCCCCCCCTCTCCCCCCCCGCCCCCCCCCCCCCCCCCCTCTCCCCGCCTCCTCATCCGCGTCGTCAAAACCACGCACGGGGGCGGGCGGGGGGCCGAGGTCGCAGCGGACAGCGACCAGCGTGACGTCGCGCCTACGCACGTGACATCTGCCGGTGCTAGCGGGGGTCCGTGCCGAGTGAGCAAGCTCGGCACCAGCTCCCCCACAATCTGGCCCATCCAACCCCCCTGTGAATGTGTCACTGAACCCGCCACCACCTTCCAGTGCCGGATGAAGCTAGTGCGGGGCCTGTAGCAAATGGTATAAAGGGGCCCTTAATAAATATTTAAACGATTATTTTTTTGACGAGTAATTGTATTTTTTCATTTTGCCATACAGCCGGATAATACGACAAATCGCTAAACCTTTAAACACCCCGGCCGTTCATAAAAGGGCGGTATAGCACTACAGCAAGAGAGCAAGTGCAGGATCACCGAACCGGAATCGATAGCTTCAAAGCGTTTGGCGCGGGGCCCTCGAACGTGCGGGCCGCCGTAGCATTTGCCGCGGCTTTTGCTACGAGGACCAATCCCGGCACCGCCACCGCCCGACGCAGCCACTTCCGCGAAGGTTTTGTCGCCTAAACAAAGCGCGCGAACCTCGTGAACCACTTCCGCGCCAGAGTGCAAAAAAAAATATAATAATAATAAAAATAAACGTGACGTTTCGCCGGACGGTCACGGCCGCCAGCTCCGTCGGGGCGATTTCGCCGGAACTGCGAAGAATTCTTCCGCCCCGACTCCGCCCCGACCCAGCTGACCCCCCCCCCCGCCCCCCCCCCCCCCCACCGTCCACACTCACTGGTCAGCCGGATCTTGGACAGCCGCGCGTAGATGCCGGGCAGCTCGGACATCTCCACCCGCACCTCGTGCCACCGCTGCGGGCGGGACCTCCGGTCGTCGGCGTCCCCATCCCCGGCCGCCGCCGCCGCTCCGGTGCAGTCGTCATCGTCCCTCGTCGGGGGTCGCGGGGAGGTCGCGAGGGCGGAGGGCGGGGAGGGGGGGTCGCGGTGGGGGGATCCGGCGGCGTCTTCTCGCAGAGCCGACGGGGCCCGGGGCTTCGCTCGCTGCCAGGCCAGGGAGCCGCCGAGACTCAGGTGCTGTGGTAGAGAGAGAGAGAGAGCGTGCGGGGAGGGGGGGGAGTGCAGGGGGGTGGGAGCGTGGGGGAGAGGAGAGAGGAGAGAAGGGGAGAGAGAGGCAGAGAAGGGGGGAGCGAGGCCGGGGGGAGCGCGGGGAGAGATGGGGGGAACGATGGGGTGAGAGAGCGGGGAGGGATCGGGAAGAGGTGGGGGAGAGATAGGGGGAGAGATGAGGAGAGAGAGCAGAGAGGGGGGAGAGAGGGGGGGAGAGATGGTGCAGTGGAGAGTAGAGTTATGAGACAGGGAGAGGGATAGTGGATGGTGTTGAGGAGAGCTCAGACTTGAGAAGAGGGAGAGGGGGGGGGAGAAATGGCACAGTGGAGAGTTGACAAAGAGGGAGAGATAGGGAGAGATGGAGTTCAGAGAGTGGAAGATGGATGAGAGAGAGAGAGAGAGGGAGATTGGTGGGGTGGAGAAGAGGAGATGCAAGGAGTTCACGAGTATTGGTTCAAGCAAGCCTGGCTGCTGGCGAGACACTCAACATCCAAACCGGTCTCTGAATCTTACGGAACCCGACCCAAAGACAAACATTCCCCATATAGCCTTAACAGACTGTAGGGGCAAGTGCTGTTAGCGAGCACCATCCACGAGGGGGCGGGTGGGGCCGGTACCACGCCCGGCCTCCGTTGTCTACGCAGGGGCGATGTTAACGACACACCGCTACACCTGGTACTCATTTGATGCGGAGGGGTGCCCAGTGGCGAGGTGTTCTCTCCCTGGCCCGGTGACGCAGCAGCTCGTGGGGTTACATCCCGACCCTGATGCCTGCATGGATGGAATTTTTGCGTCGTTCTCCCCGTGGTTGCGTGGATTTTTCTCCAGGGTCACGAGGTTGTTTTTCCCCCTCTACGTTTCGGGGGGGGGGGGGTGGGGGGGGAATGAACATCTCTGCGCGTCCGTGAGAGCTATTTCGGCCGCTGCCATCGATTTCCACACGACGCTGCCGAGCCACCTCACCTCGTCGAGCCAATCGTTTGCGACTTCTGAAAGAAGAGGTACACACCTCAGCTTGGGGACGGGGGGGACAGGGGGAGCTTCCTTTACCTGATGGAAACAACAAAACAAAAGCGCCCCGGCGAGCGACGGGAGGCATTACCCGGGCGTGCGGTGGCGGCGGCCTTAGCAGGACGGTTCTCGTCGCCGCGCCAGCGAGGTGGACGAGGCGAGCGGCGCGGCCGGGAGGCCACGGCGGCGCCTGGCGCACGGCACCTCCCCCGCAGCCTGCAGCGGCCCAGAATGCACAGCGCCGGAAAGCACAGCTGGATCACCCGGAGCGCGACTCCGCACGGTGTGCGCGCGAGCGGAACCCCTTCACCGGCATGGGTACACCCGCTAACCGGCCCTGCGCCCAACTGGACCCCGGTCAGGATTTCGAACTTGTATTCCAAGATCGCGGGCTTCGACTGAACAGTGTGAGACAACTGACCGACGGAGGAGGCAAGGTGGAGCGGTGAATGCGCTAATCGACATTTGTGCAAGGTGCAAAGCTATAAACACAAATCTCACACACACACACCATAACTCTCTCTCACACACACACACAGATAAAGACCCCCCCCCACCCACCCCAGTGCAGCCTTAAACAGACTGTTGGGGCAAGTGCTGCTAGCGGAGGCCCACGGCCGGTTCAGATAATCGTCAATGGGTGTTGGCGGCCGTGAGCGGGAATCGAACTCAGATCGCCGGGTGGGTAGCACCAGCGCACTCGGTCTCCCACTGACCCCCACCCCACCCTCACACCCTCACACCACACACACAACTCCACACACACCACACCACACAAACACCACATACATCCCCACACACACCACACACACCCCCCCACACACACCCTCACACCCCCACCACACAAACACCACATACATCCCCACACACACCACACACACACACCACACACACACACCCCCCCCCACACACACCCTCACACCACACACACCCCCACACAACTCCACACACACCACACCACACAAACACCACATACATTGCCACACACACCACACACCCCCCCCACACACACCCTCACACCCCCACACACACACACCACATACACCCACACACCCTTACACCCCCACAACTCCACACACACCACACAAACACACCACACAGACCCCCACACAACTCTACACACACCCCCACACACCCCCACACCCACCAATTCCAATACCGGGGCATTCGCCACTAAGTGACGGTGACATCACCACGGCTCCTGTGCCAGGCCAGGTGCACTTTGAGGCTATCACGTGAAGTTAACCTCATGTCAGCACCCCCGGGGTCCCGAATAAACGGAAGTCAACAATGGTAACCCATTGATTGTTGGCGACTCCGTCCCACCGCGCACGTGAACGCCGCGACCCTCCCGGCGCGGATCGCTCCGGTGCCGCGTCGCGCCCGAGCGCAGCGGTGAGGACGAATACCGTGGTCACGAACGAAACTTTGAAACGTTGATTAGCGCGTCGCGCAGAGCTCGTCGAGAGGAATAGATCGCCGTGTCGTTCGCCTTCGACGGACATAAAATGACGTCGCCACGCAGTTCATGCGAGAGCCGGGGGCTAACGGGACCCCGGGGTCCCGCCATGAGGTTCGCTGGCAGGAGGTCACGGGAAAGACCCAGCAGGTGCCATGACTGAGATGACCACTGGTATATGCACCACCAGCTGTACCCCCCTACTGTGCCAGGCTAGGTGCATGAGTTCACGGGATAGACCCTGCAGGTGCCATTGGGTCGACTGACTGAGATGACCACTGGTCGATGCACCACCAGCTGTACCCCCTACTGTGCCAGGCTAGGTGCACGAGTTCACGGGATAGACCCTGCAGGTGCCATTGGGTCGACTGACTGAGATGACCACTGGTAGATACACCACCAGCTGTACCCCCTACTGTGCCAGGCTAGGTGCAGGAAGAGGTCACGGGACAGACCCTGCAGGTACCATGGGTCGACTAACTGAGATGACTGGCCGATGCACCACCAGCTGTACCCCCTACTGTGCCAGGCTAGGTGCAGGAGGTCACGGGACAGACCCAGCAGGTACCATGGGTCGACTGACTGAGATGACCACTGGTAGATGCACCACCACCTGTGCCCCCCGCTACTGTGCCAACTTGCTGCGTTTTATCCGCCCGGCGCTCCGCTCGTTGTTGTGAGTGGCGCTCCTCTTTGCGCTCCGTTGTTGCTGGAGGGCGACTGCCTCCAAACTTCCCGGTAGCAGCGTCCTTCACAGAGCCTCCCTCCACAGCCGCCCTCCCACAGCACACAGCACAGCCAACAACCACGTGGTGTCCTACAGCCTCAAGGTTACCCCGGTCACCGCACTCATTCACTCCTCCACACACACACTCACACTCGTCCACACACACACACTCCTCCACACAACAACCGCCATTCGCCACTAAGTGGCGGTGACGTCACCACGACGCTTGTGCCAGGACATGTGCACCTTGAGGCCACATGGAGTGTCGAACGCCCGCTGGCAGGAGGTCACGGGGCAGACCCAGGTGCCACGGGTCGAATGACTGAGATGACTGGCTGTGCCCCCTACTGTGCCAACCTGCTGTGCTTTAGTCACACCTCCACACACACACCTCCACACACACTCCACACACACACTTCTCCACACACTCCACACACACACTCACCTCCACACACACACTCCACACTCCACCTCCACTCACCAGCGACGACCCGGCACCACATCGCGAACGGCGCCAGGTCGCGATGTTTGGAGAGATTCTCGTGGTGGGTGGTGGGTGGTGGTGGTGGTGGCGGTACAAGCCGTAACCCCCCTCTGCCTCCTCTTCCTCCACCCTCCCTCCACCCCACAAGCCTCGACTCACACGGCCGCCGTCATTTGTACAAGAGACGGCGGCAACGGTCGCAGTTGGTCCGAGCAACTCGCACGCAACTCGGACGCAACTTGCACGCAACTCGGACGCAACCTTCGTAATCTGCAAGGACCTCCCAACGGGACGCCGACTCACGTGGCGGAAGAGGCGGTTACTTCCGGGTGTGCATCCACTTCCGGGTAAGGATCACTTCCGGGTAGTGATTACTTCCGGGTTGTTGGTGTGTGGTTTTTTTTTGTGTGTGTGTGTGGCGTTAATTTTTCGTTATTTCGGTAAAGTCGCGTAGATATTAAATACGTAATAAAATATAATTACAAATTAATTGAAAATTATAAAGGCAACTAAAAAAAACCCACCCCCCACGACGTTTCCGCTCGCAACACGAGCGATCTTGCTGGCTGTTATTTCCCCCACCCACCCCTCCCCGTGCGTGGCTAAACACGTGGGGAGAGACGGAGGGATGGGAAGTGCGTTGTGGAATTCCGCGGAAGCTTTAAGGGAAGAGAAATACTCAAACGAATGATAATCTTTGTGTGTTTTTTAATACACTGGAGGAGGAATCCGATAAGCTGTAAAGCTCTTTATTTTTTTTTATCCACAGCGGGTAAGAGCGTTACAACAACACCATAAAGACACGATAGGAGTGGAAATTATAATTAAGATAAACAGAATAAGAATCATATTTTTTTTATTTGAAGCTTTCGTGACTGCGGGAATCTTTACTCTTTTGTTATTCCGGTAAAGTCACGTGGGTGGGAAAGCACCTGATGTAGCTTGCTTGTGTTGCGCCCGAAACGTCGTGATTATATATTTTTTATTTTTATACCTACTACGTGACTTTACCGACATAACCAAAAGGGTAATAAGAATCATGATTTATTCTGGAGGAATCCGATGAGCTGTAAAGCTCTTTTTATCCACAGACGTGTGGTCGAGGCGGGTAATAAAGTAACAACAACAAACATCAACACGATAGGGGGGCACGGTAGGAGTACATATTCTTGGTTCTTTCGGTAAAGTAACGTAGAAGGGAAATAATACAAATAATAAAAAAAAATCACGACGTTTCGATTGCAACAACAAAGCAATCGTCATCAGGTGTGAAAACCAGTCTGAGTCAGTGTGGTTCTGAGTGTTAGTCTGAGTGTTAGTCTAAGTGTTAGTCTGAGTGTTAGTCTGAGTGTTAGTCTAAGTGTTAGTCTGAGTGTTAGTCTGAGTCAGTGTGATTCTGAGTGTTAGTCTGAGTGTTAGTCTGAGTCGGTGTGAGTCTGAGTCAGTGTTAGTCTGAGTGTTAGTCTGAGTGTTAGTCTGAGTCAGTGTGAGTCTGAGTGTTAGTCTGAGTCAGTGTGAGTCTGAGTGTTAGTCTGAGTGTTAGTCTGAGTCAGTGTGAGTCTGAGTGTTAGTCTGAGTGTTAGTCTAAGTGTTAGTCTGAGTCAGTGTGAGTCTGAGTCAGTGTGATTCTGAGTGTTAGTCTGAGTGTTAGTCTGAGTGTTAGTCTAAGTGTTAGTCTGAGTGTTAGTCTGAGTCAGTGTGATTCTGAGTGTTAGTCTGAGTGTTAGTCTGAGTCGGTGTGAGTCTGAGTCAGTGTTAGTCTGAGTGTTAGTCTGAGTCAGTGTGAGTCTGAGTGTTAGTCTGAGTCAGTGTGAGTCTGAGTGTTAGTCTGAGTGTTAGTCTGAGTCAGTGTGAGTCTGAGTGTTAGTCTGAGTGTTAGTCTAAGTGTTAGTCTGAGTCAGTGTGAGTCTGAGTCAGTGTGATTCTGAGTGTTAGTCTCAGTGTTAGTCTGAGTGTTAGTCTAAGTGTTAGTCTGAGTGTTAGTCTGAGTCAGTGTGAGTCTGAGTAAGTGTGATTCTGAGTGTTAGTCTGAGTGTTAGTCTGAGTGTTAGTCTGAGTGTTAGTCTGAGTCAGTGAGAGTCTGGGTGTTAGTCTGAGTCAGTGTTAGTCTGAGTGTTAAACTGAGTCAGTGTTAGTCTGAGTGTTAGTCTGAGTCAGTGTTAGTCTGAGTCAGTGTGATTCTGAGTGTTAGCCTGAGTGTAAGTCTGAGTCGGTGTGAGTCTGAGTGTTAGTCTGAGTCAGTGTTAGTCTGAGTGTTAGTCTGAGTCAGTGTGATTCTGAGTGTTAGCCTGAGTGTAAGTCTGAGTCAGTGTGAGTCTGAGTGTTAGTCTGAGTCAGTGTTAGTCTGAGTGTTAGTCTGAGTCAGTGTGAGTCTGAGTGTTAGTCTGACTTTGCAGATAGCTTTACATCGGAAGTAGGATTAAAGTTGGATTTTCTGTTTGCACATGCACAAAGTCACTTTAAGATGTTTTTCTTATTCATATTTTTGTTTGTTGCGGTTGCACCCGATTCAAGAGCCGAATGGCTCACAGGGCTGTACCAAAATAAATACAACTATGAAACTATGAAACACCGATCCATCCCCATCTCGACGAGACAAGGCAGTTTGTGCAGCAATTGTTGTGTTGTTGTTGTACAGAAAGTGGCGTCTTGAAGCTCGCTGTTGTTGTTGTTGATGATGGCCAGCGAACAGTGCCGGATGAAGCTAAGTGCCGGTGCCTGTAGCATGATGATGCTACAAAGGGGGCCTTAAATAATAATAATAAAAACGTAAATATTAAAACACGAATTGTTGCCTTGCATAGTAAAGTAATTGTACTTTTTTCACTTGCTACAAAGCCAGATAATACGACAAATCGCTAAACCTTAAACACCCGGTCGTTCTTAAAAGTCGAGGGCGGTATAGTACTATAGTAATAGAGCAAGTGCAGAATCACCGAACCGGAATTGATCGCTTGAAAGCGTTTAGCGCTGGGCCCTTGAAAGTGCGGTGCCCGTAGCTACTACGTATGTAGCAGTAGCTACTACATATATAGTAGCTATATATGTAGTAGCTACTACTTGGGTAGCAACACGTGGCGCCTGCAACTCCACAGTTTAGGGACCACGCCGTTTTTCTGCAAGGGCCATTTGGATATTTATATAACATCATTCGCGGGCCATACAAAATTATCAACTTAAAAATTAGCCCGCTATATTTGGTCAAAACATTTAATTAACTCACCCCTAATGTGCTGGCTGGAACTGCTTCTCTTTGGCCAGGCGTGTGAATTTAGCCGGTTTTGATGATGTTGCTACTCGCAACTGCTTTTCCAGGTTTGCTCCTAGATTTTAATTTTGAGTCCCGCCAGCAGTTGCCTTGGCAGGGCCACACCAAATGATTTCACAGACCTTATACGGCCCGCGGGACGGACGTTCCCCACTCCTGGTCCGACTCCTCCGCCGTTGAAGGAGCGCAGACCTCAATCGGTTTAGTCTAGATTCACACTGACTCAGACGAACACTCAGACTAACACTCAGACTAACACTCAGACTAACACTGACTCAAACTAACACTCAGACTCACACTGACTCAGACTACCACTCAGACTAACACTCAGTCTAACACTGACTCAAACTAACACTCAGACTCACACTGACTCAGACTAACACTCAGACTAACACTCAGACTAACACTCAGACTAACACTGACTCAAACTAACACTCAGACTAACACTGACTCAGACTAACACTGACTCATACTAACACTCAGACTAACACTGACTCAGACTAACACTCAGACTCACACTGACTCAGACTAATACCCAGATTCACACTCACTCAGACTAACACTCAGACTAACACTGACTCAGACTAACACTCAGACTAACACTGACTCACACTTACTCAGACTAACACTCAGACTAACACTCAAACTAACACTCAGACTCACACTGACTCAGACTAACACTCAGACTAACACTGACTCAGACTAACACCCAGACTCACACTGACTCAGACTAACACTCAGACTAACACTCAGTCTAACACTGACTCAGACTAACACTGACTCAGACTAACAGTCAGACTAACACTGACTCAGACTACCACTCAGACTCACACTGACTCAGACTAACACCCAGATTCACACTCACTCAGACTAACACTCAGACTAACACTCAGACTAACACTGACTCAGACTAACATTCAGACTAACACTCAGACTAACACTCACTCAGACTAACACTGACTCAGACTAACACTGACTCAGACTAACACTCAGACTAACACTGACTCAGACTAACACTGACTCAGACTAACACTCAGACTAACACTGACTCAGACTAACACTCTGACTAACACTCAGGCTAACACTGACTCAGACTCACACTGACTCAGACTAACACTCAGACTAACACTGACTCAGACTGACTCAGACTAACACTCAGACTAACACTGACTCAGACTAACACTGACTCAGACTAACACTCAGACTAACACTGGGCCCATAGACTAACACTGACCCATAAATCAACACTGGACCCATAGACTAACACTGGGCCCATAGACTAACATTGACCCATAAATCAACACTGGACCCATAGACTAACACTGTACCCATAGACTCACACTGAACCCACAGACTAACACTGTACCCATAGACTCACACTGAACCCACAGACTAACACTGTACCCATAGACTACCACTGGACGAATAGACTAACACTGGACCCATAGACTAACACTGGACCCATAGACTAACACCGGACCCATAGACTAACACCGGACCCATAGACTAACACCGGACCCATAGACTCACACTGGACCCATAGACTCACACTGGACCCATAGACTACCACTGGACCCATAGACTACCACTGGACCCATAGACTCACACCGGACCCATAGACTCACACTGGACCCATAGACTACCACTGGACCCATAGACTACCACTGGACCCATAGACTCACACTGGACCCATAGACCAACACTGGACCCATAGACTAACACTGGACCCATAGACTAACACTGGACCCATAGACTCACACTGGACCCATAGACTAACACTGACCCATAGACTCACACTGGACCCATAGACTCGCACTGGACCCATAAACTATTACTGGACCAATAGGCTCACACTGGACCCATAGGCTCACACTGGACCCATAGACTAACACTGGACCCATAGGCTCACACTGGACCCATAGACTAACACCGGACCCATAGACTCACACTGGACCCATAGACTAACTCTGGACCCATAGACTAACACTGGACCCATAGACTAACACTGGACCCATAGACTAACACTGGACCCATAGGCTCACACTGGACCCATAGACTAACACTGGACCCATAGGCTCACACTGGACCCATAGACTAACACCGGACCCATAGACTCACTCTGGACCCATAGACTCACACTGGACCCATAGACTAACACTGACCCATAGACTCACACTGGACCCATAGACTAACACAGGACCCATAGGCTCACACTGGACCCATAGACTAACACCGGACCCATAGACTCACACTGGACCCATAGACTCACACTGGACCCATAGACTAACACTGGACCCATAGACTCACACTGGACCCATAGACTAACACTGGCCCATAGACTGACACTGGACCCATAGACTCACACTGGACCCATAGACTCACACTGGACCCATAGACTCACACTGGACCCATAGACTAACACAGGACCCATAGACTCACACTGGACCCATAGACTCACACTAGACCCATAGACTCACACTGGACCCATAGACTAACACAGGACCCATAGACTCACACTGGACCCATAGACTCACACTGGACCCATAGACTATCACTATACCCATAGACTCACACTGGACCCATAGACTAACACAGGACCCATAGACTCACACTGGACCCATAGACTCACACTGGACCCATAGACTCACACTGGACCCATAGACTAACACTGGACCCATAAACTCACACTGGACCCAAAGACTAACACTGCCCATAGACCAACACTGGACCCATAGACTAACACTGGACCCATAGACTAACACTGGACCCATAGACTCACACTGGACCCATAGACTAACACTGGACCCATAGACTAACACTGGACCCATAGACTCACACTGGACCCATAGACTATCAGGGGACCCATAGACTAACACCGGACCCATAGACTAACACTGGACCCATAGACTCACACTGGGCCCATAGACTAACACTGGACCCATAGACTCACACTGGACCCATAGACTAACACTGGACCCATAGACTCACACTGGGCCCATAGACTAACACTGGACCCATAGACTCACACTGGACTCATAGACTAACACCGGACCCATAGACTAACACCGGACCCATAGACTAACACCGGACCCATAGACTCACACTGGACCCATAGACTAACACTGGACCCATAGACTAACACCGGACCCATAGACTCACACTGGACCCATAGACTAACACTGGGCCCATAGACTAACACTGGACCCATAGACTCACACTGGACCCATGTCGCTCTTCCACCGTAATTGGAGCCAAGACCACAGTGGATGATTTACTGTGCGGTCCACAGTTTGGATTGCACGGTCACATAGCACTTCTGTGACTTGTCTTCAATGCATCTCTGTGTATTTATATGAGCATGGTTCTCTGTATCTCTGTGTGTCTATTGGTATCTGTGCATATCTATGCGTCCTTGTGTGTCTGTGTGCATCTACTAGCTGTACTACTCGGCTTCGCCCGGGACTTTGATCCACCACGCCCGGCCGCCTTTGCCTCCCCAGTGGCGATGTTCACACACCGCAGCAGTTACTCGTTTGAGGCTGAGTCGACCTAGGGGAGGCCCAGGAGCGGTTAAAATAATCGTCACCGGTGGTGGCCGTGAGCGGGAATCGAACTCGGGTCACCGGGTTCGTAGCGCAGCGTAGCACTAACCGCTACACTACAATGCGTCACGCTTCCACACACACACAGACACACACAGATACACACACACAGACACACACACAGACACACACAGACAGCGCGCTAACCACTACACTCAATGCGTTACGCTTCCACGTGCGTGGGTCACGTGACAGATTTGACGTCACAGCTCACTTGCCGTGCAAAAACTAAATGCATTATTGAGCTCCCGCCCGCCCCCCCCCAACAAAAGTGTATTTGTATAATGTTTGCATGGTGTACAGTCTGGATAGTACCCACGTGGCAAATGGCAAGTTTGTTGCATGTCGGGAAGTATGCTAAACATTTTGAACAGACGCATAATCACAACTTTTCCTTTTACATATATGGATATGTATCTCTATGCATCCTTGTGTGTCTATGAGTCTCCGTGTGTATCCACGTATCGTTATGCGTGTCTATGCATCTCGATGGGTTTCTATGAATCTCTGCGCATCTCTGTGTCTGTGTATCTCGACGAATGTGTATCTCTGTGTGCGTCTCTTATGTACCTCTATGGGTTTACAGTACGGCCCATAGTTTGGGTTGCATGGCCACTCTCGCACTGCTAGTGCCTGCGGCTTTGAATATTCCATTCGATGGCGGAGATGTCGCGTTGGCCTCCTGATGATGATGTTCTGATGATGTGGTTGATGGTTCCACCACCACCACTATTGCCTTCGAGGAGAAGGTGGAACGTCAAAGCCCAGGAGGAGGTGCGATGAGGTTTGGGTCTCGAATGACGAGATGGGGTTCCCAACGTTCCGTGTCGATTCTACCCTGATCTACGGCAGCAGCGATCTTGTGAATCCCGATGTCTGCGTCTCGAATGACGAGGTGGGGTTCCCAACGTTCCGTGTCGATTCTACCCTGATCTACGGCAGCAGCGATCTTGTGAATCCCGATGTCTGCGTCTCGAATGACGAGGTGGGGTTCCCAACGTTCCGTGTTGATTCTACCCTGATCTACGGCAGCAGCGATCTTGTGAATCCCGATGTCTGCGTCTCGAATGACGAGGTGGGGTTCCCAACGTTCCGTGTTGATTCTACCCTGATCTACGGCAGCAGCGATCTTGTGAATCCCGATGTCTGCGTCTCGAATGACGAGGTGGGGTTCCCAACGTTCCGTGTTGATTCTACCCTGATCTACGGCAGCAGCGATCTTGTGAATCCCGATGTCTGCGTCTCGAATGACGAGGTGGGGTTCCCAACGTTCCGTGTTGATTCTACCCTGATCTACGGCAGCAGCGATCTTGTGAATCCCGATGTCTGCGTCTCGAATGACGAGGTGGGGTTCCCAACGTTCCGTGTTGATTCTACCCTGATCTACGGCAGCAGCGATCTTGTGAATCCCGATGTCTGCGTCTCGAATGACGAGGTGGGGTTCCCAACGTTCCGTGTCGATTCTACCCTGATCTACGGCAGCAGCGATCTTGTGAATCCCGATGTCTGCGTCTCGAATGACGAGGTGGGGTTCCCATCGTTCCGTGCTGTTGCCACCCTGATTTACGGCAGCAGCGGTAACGGCGATCTTCTGGATTCCCGATGTTCGGGTCTCGAATGACGAGGTGTTTATTATTCGTCCGTGTTTTTTTTTTCTACTCTGGTCTACAGCAGCAGCAGCGGCGGCGGCGGCGATCTTTGCGGATCTGGGTGGCGAGATTCTCGGGTGGCGACAGCAGCAGATGGTGGTGGTGGAAATTAATTGAATTTAAAAGCCAGAATGTCAAAAAAGCAACCGCAGACAAGGGACAAGGAATCTTTTCAGAGGATGAATTACCTTTACCAGGTGAGCGGCTATCATTTCACACGCAGACAAAGATCCCCCGTATAGCCTTAAACGGACTGTAGGGGCAAGTGCTGTTAGCGAGCACCTATGAAGGCCGGCGCGGCACACGAGGGGGTGGGTGGCCAACACCACGGACGGCCGCCTTTGTCTCCCCAGTGGCGACGATGTTTATTGCAACACCGCACCAGGTACTCATTTGAGGCTGAGTCGACCTAGGGGAGGCCCAGAACCGATTCAAATAATCGTCGCTGGTGTTGGCCAAGAGCGGGAATCGAACTCGGGTCGCCGAGTTTGGAGCGCAGCGCGCTAACCGCTGCACCACCGCTCATTATTTGACCATACCTCACCAGTTTGGTCAACAGAGAGCAAAGCCACATCTGCAGAAAAAAGAGCTTCACAGCTCATTGGATTTCTCCAGGATAAAGATTCAGATTCTACTGCTGCTACTGCTCCTGCTGCTACTGCTGCTTCCACTACCACTGCTGCTACTACTGCTGCTGCTACTGCTGTGTGCTACTGCTGCTACTACTGCTGCTGCTACTGCTGTTTGCTACTACTGCTGCCGCTACTTCTGCTACTACTGCTGCTGCTACTGCTGCTACTCCTGCTGCTACTCCCACTGCTTCTGCTACCACCAACGCTGCCGCTACTGCTGCTACTGCTGCTGCTACTGCTGCTGCTGCTACTGCTGCGTGCTACTGCTGCTGCTACTCCTGCTGCTACTCCCACTGCTTCTGCTACCACCAACGCTGCCGCTACTGCTGCTACTACAGCTGCAACTGCGACCACTGCTGCTACTGCGAACGAACACTTTCAGCGCTCGCGTTCATTCCACCCCCCGGCGGTGGTTTTACTCAAACCCACCTCTGGGGACAAACGTTCGCTGTAGGACTAGCTGACAGGCCACGGACACACACACGCACACACGCACGCACATGCACGCACACCAGCACGCACGCACGCACGCCCCTCTCATCGCCTGCTCTTAGAAATGCTCAAGACGGAAGCTGAAGGTTATTGCAGCCCCCACTTTCATTGCGTTTTCACGCATTTACATTCCCTCCCCAGCCGAGTTGGTTTTATTTATCGCGTCCGCCATCGACTCGCCGCGTTATTGCCCCCGGGGTAACTGAGACCCCTGGGCGCGCTCTCTCGCTCAGCGACGTCGAGACGGAGCCGCCGCCGCCGCCGCTGATACAACGATAATTATTAATCTTCGTCTGGTTTGCGTTTATCGCCTTGGGAGCCAAGTCAATTAACGGGAACGTCCCGTTTATTTTCCACGACTTTAGTATTTTTATTGTTTTATTACCTCCGCACATACCACCCCCCCCCCCCCCCCACCCCCAGTCAGCGGTTAACGGCGAAAAAAAAAACGTGACATCCCAAAGCCGCTCCAAGTCAGCACGGGGATAGAGCGTTTCTCCCTCTCGCGCTCGCCTGGGGGGTGGACTGGGGCTGCTTCGTGTGAAAGGGAACCGGAGAGCTACCGGGCAGCGGGGGAAACCTAACAACGCGTGTGACTTTGGTCGGGAGTCTTCGGCTTCCGCACGGATGGAATTTAGAATCCGTTCCCGGGCCCCATGGTTACCGTGTTGCGTCGTTCGCACGATGACTGAACTCCGTTGTGGGAGCCTCGAGTCTGGCTCTGTGAGCCTCTTGCATTAACACTTTAACCCCCCCACTGTGGTAGCGTTGGTTTGGCTCCATCTGACCCACAGTGTTCGCCGACAGCACTTGCCCCAACAGCCCGTGAAGGCTGCGGTCGGGGCGGATCTTTGCCTTTTGCAGTCGCTCGAGCGCCGTGAACCCAGCGACCCGACTTCGATTCCCGCTCGCGGCCACCGACGCCGGTTTACGATTCTCTTGAACCGGTCCTGGGCCTCCACCAGCTCCACCCAGCCTCAAATGAGTAGTACCTGGTGCGGTGCGTGAACGTCGCCGCTAGGGAGCCGATGTCGGCCGGGCGCGGTGTTGTCCCGCCAACCCCCCTCGTGTGCCGTGCCGGCCTCAACGTGCTGCTCCGCTCGCCAGCGCTCGCCCCGAACGGTCTGTTGAAGGCTACGCTGGGGGGGGGGACCTTCTCCTTTTGTGTGCAGGCGGCGCACTGCGTGCTGGCGCAGAACCCGGAGAACCAGGAGCTGGTCCGGTTCTACACCCACACCATGAGGACCATCGGGCGCCGGCTGGTGATAAAGAGGTAGGTCCACGCTCGAAAATCAAACCTGCATTCGCTTGACCGCGTGAGGCCCGCCGAGCCCCCCTGTGGAGCTCTTTTGTCCGAGGCGACCTGCCCACAGATGGCCAAGCTCTGGCTAAGCCGCGTGGATTCCACGCGGGGAGGGACAAACCGGAGGACGAGGAGAGAAGTACACGCGACCACCGGGAGAGAGAGAGAGAGAGAGACGGCGAGAGAGACGCGCGGATTTCCAGATGTGCAGCAGCAGGCGTCGGGGTCGGGATGGAAACAAACGAGCTCCTGTAGACCAGGCGAGGTAGTCAACATCTCATAGCCACCGTGATGATGAGAGACAGAGAGAGAGGCACGCAAACTCCAAATATACAGCAGCAGCAGGCGTCAGGGTCGGGATCGAACCCACGACCTCCTGTACACCAGGCGAGGTAGTCAACATCTCCTAGCCACACGGGGTGGACGAGTCACGGGGACCCACGCTGGCTTCTCTTTGTGTTGTGCTCGTGACAGCGATCCGTCCATCAAGCGGAACGTGTGCAAGCGCTGCAGCTCCCTGCTGGTGCCTGGCATCACGGCCACCGTCAGGCTGAGAGGTGCGTGTGTGTCTGTGTGTGTTAGTCTGTGTGTCTGTGTGTTAGTCTGTGTGTCTGTGTGTGTCTGTGCGTGTGTGTGTCTGTGTGTCTGTGCGTGTTAGTCTGTGTGTGTGTAGTGGATTCGAATTAGGTGCACACACAACTCCTTGTGAGGCAACACATTTATTAGAACGGTAAGTAATATAACACTGCACATAAGGTGGTGACCACCGACCTACTCTAGCTAACACACACAACTTCTCAAATACTCTAGCGTGACCCAGCCAGGTGGGCTACTGCCAGGTCCGCTGACTGGAGGCTTGACTCCTCTTGGCGTCTTCACGATGCATCTTCGTTCTTGATACGGGCAGCCTCGAACCTTGTGAGGAGGCTGCTTATATGGGCCTCGGCGTGCCCGGGCCCCACCCCGGCCACGCCTCCCTTCGAGAACCCTCTCGAAGCCCCCCTGCTGTCCACGTGTCCCCCGAGGTGCCCCCTAGGCCCCCGGCCCCCACTGGGATCCAGTCACGTGTCCAGCCGGGGTCACAGAGAGTGCCACGGCCTCACACCACCCTCGTGGCCTCCCGGAGCCCAGAACCGGCACTGACGTCATTCCCGCCTCCAGCCGGGATGACGTCATGTGTGTGTGTGTGTGTAGACCCGCGTGGTCATGACGCTACCCCGCATAGTGACGTCACACTTGTGCGTGTGTACACAGTAGTGATGCTACCATCACTACATGTGTGTGTCTGTGCGTGTGTCTGTGTCTATGTGCGTGTCTGTGCGTGTGTCTGTGTGTGTCAGTCTGTGTGTGTTAGTCTGTGTGTCTGTAGGTGTGTGTGTGTGTCTGTGCGTTTGTCTATGTGTCTGTGTGCGTGTCTGTGTGCGTGTCTGTGTGTGTTAGTCTGTGTGTGTTAGTCTGTGTGTCTGTAGGTGTGTGTGTGTGTGTCTGTGCGTTTGTCTGTGTGTCTGTGCGCGTGTCTGTGTGTGTGAACCTGGCGACCCGGGTTCGATTCCCGCTCACGGCCAACACCAGTGACGATTATCTGAACCGGTCCCGGGCCTCCCCTAGGTCGACTCAGCCTCAAATGAGTACCTGGTGCGGTGTAAACATCGCCACTGGGGAGACAAAGGCGGTCGTGCGTGGTGCTGGTCACCACCCACCCCCTCGTGTACCGATCCGGCCTTCATAGGTGCTCGCTAACACTACTTGCCCCTACAGTCTGTTAAAGCAGAGGTCTCACTCCGAATCAGTCGAGCGGCAATATCTTTTCATCGGTTGCGTAACGCTGTGTGGAAGCTACCTGGTCTGTCGCTCCGCACTAAGCTTCAGGTCTTCTCGGCCACGATCATTCCCTCCCTTCTCTACGCTTGCGAAACGTGGACCCCCCTAATGGAACATCTTCGCCGGTTAGAAACATTTAGGCTGACCTGCCTACGATCCATCCTGGGTTTAACCAGACTGGATTGTGTGAGGAGCTCACAAATCCTTGAAAGATCTGGGCAGGGTCCCATCGGTGAGCTCCTCCGGCAGGCAAGGCTGCGATGGCTGGGTCATGTAGCCCGCATGCCCAGCCACCGCATGCCGAAACAGCTTTTGTTTGGCCGGATTGAGGGGGCTAAGCGGGCGCGGCACGGGCTAGAGAAGAGATGGAGTGATGTGGTACAGGAGGACGTGGAGCTGAGTGGACTTGCCGATGACTGGTACCAGCGGTGTCAAGATCGGCCTCTGTGGAGGAGGCTCGTGAAGGATGCTACTGGGCAGTTGGAGGCAGTCGCCCTCCAACAACAACGGAGGGCGGAGGAGCGACGCTCACAACAGCGAGCGGAGCGCCGGGTGGCTAAAGCACAGCAGGTTGGCACAGTAGGGGGCACAGGTGGTGCATCAGCCAGTCATCTCAGTCAGTCGACCCGTGGCACCTGGGTCTGCCCCGTGACCTCCTGCCAGCGGGCGTTCGACACTTCACGTGGCCTCAGGGTGCACATAGCCTGGCACAAGCGTCGTGGTGACGTCACCGCCACTTAGTGGCGAATGGCGGTTGTTGTTGTTGTTGTGTGTCTGTACTGAAGGCGATCCGGAGTCTGAGATCAGGAAAGGCAGCGGGCAGAGATGATGTCCCAAGCGAAATGCTGAGGGAGGGTGGCATTTGTGCACAGACTGCCCTATATGACATCATAACAAGTCTGGACCACTGGACGGGTTCCGCAGGATTGGAAGGATGCCCTGGTGGTCCCCCTCTTTAAGAAGGGCGACCGCACAGACTAACAACTAAAAGGGCATCTCACTCCTCAGTGTGCCGGGAAAGGTCCTGGCAAGGATTATTCAACATCGCCTTACTAGGCACGCTGAGGAGAGGCTTGCGGAGCCCCAATGCGGTTTCAGGAAAGGGCGGTCCTGCACAGATGCCATATTTTTCTGTCTGTCTACTACAGCAGAGGTGTAGGGAATTCCAGCAAGACCTACATCTCTGCTTTATTGACCTGGTCAAGGCCTATGATACCATCAGTAGGCCTGCGCTCTGGGTTGTTCTTTGTGCTTTTGGAGTACCTGACCCTCTGCTCACGATCATTAAGGACCTTCATGATGGTGAGCGGGCCCGGGTAAAACTACGTGGCCGGGAGTCAGAGCCATTCCCTGTATACCTTGGGGTGCGACAGGGATGTCCTCTGGCTCCCACATTATTTAAGATCTATTTTGACCACGTAGTTCGTGAAGCCTTCAATAGCTGTACCGGGGGAATCTCCATATGGTACAGATATAATGGGAGGCTGATCGATGCCCGGGTACGGTCATGCGATGGCTCCCTATTGCTCAACCATGTTATGTATGCCGATGATTTGGTAATAGCTGCTCATTCAGAGGAGGAGTTGGAGACGCTGCTGCTGAGACTGGAGCGTGCCACTAAGAGTTGGGGCCTTACCATCAGCCCCACCAAAACTAAGCACCTGCCTGGGTATTTTGTACCATCGGACACTCCACCCCCACAACTCCCAATCGGTGATGGGGCAGTTGTGGAGAGAGTGGAGAGTTTGCCATACCTGGGCAGTATGCTTATGACCGGCTCCAGTTTAACAGCAGAGGTTTCACTCCAAATCAGTCGAGCGGCAATATCTTTTCATCGGTTGCGTAACGCTGTGTGGAAGCTACCTGGTCTGTCGCTCCACACTTAGCTTCAGGTCTTCTCGGCCACGGTCATTCCCTCCCTTCTCTACGCTTGCGAAACGTGAACCCCCCTAATGGAACATCTTCGCCGGTTAGAAACATTTAGGCTAGCCTGCCTACGATCCATCCTGGGTTTAACCAGGCTGGATTGTGTGAGGAGCTCACAAATCCTTGAAAGATCGGGGCAAGGTCCCATCGGTGAGCTCCTCCGGCGGGCAAGGCTGCGATGGCTGGGTCATGTAGCCCGCATGCCCAGCCACCGCATGCCGAAACAGCTTTTGTTCGGCCGGATCGAGGGGGCTAAACGGGCGCGGCATGGCCTAGAGAAGAGATGGAGTGATGTGGTACAGGAGGACGTGGAGCTGAGTGGACTTGCCGATGACTGGTACCAGCGGTGTCAAGATCGGCCTCTGTGTAGGAGGCTCGTGAAGGATGCTACTGGGCAGTTGGAGGTAGTCGCCCTCCAACAACAACGGAGGGCGGAGGAGCGACGCTCACAACAACGAGCGGAGCGCCGGGTGGCTAAAGCACAGCAGGTTGGCACAGTAGGGGGCACAGGTGGTGCATCAGCCAGTCATCTCAGTCATCTCAGTCAGTCGACCCGTGGCACTTGGGTCTGCCCTGTGACCTCCTGCTAGCGGGCGTTCGACACTTCACGTGGCCTCAGGGTGCACATAGCCTAGGAACAAGCGCCGCGGTGACGTCACCGCCACTTGGTGGCGAATGGCGGTTGTTGTTGTTGGGATAAAGTCACTCGCCGCTTGAAACCTGTAATTGAATGCGCCGCAGTAAGACGCGGCGCGGTGTAATTCAACGCCCTGCCGCTCCGCGTGCGTGCTTGCTATCGGCACTTGCCCCCCCCCCCACCCCCCCCCGCAAAAGTCCGTTGAGGCTGTACGGGGTGAGGGGAGAACCTTTGTCCGTGTGCGGACCTCCAGGCCGGCGGCACCGCCGCGTCTCCGTGCGCTGCCTGTGCTGCTCTGCCACCAAGCGCTTCCCCGCACGGACGCGCTTCTCGCTCTGGAGCGAGCGCCCGGAGGCGCAGCTCGCCGAGCCGCAGAGGGGACCTCCAGCGCCGGCTCCAGCTGCGGCTCCAGCTGCGGTTCCAGAGCCAGCTCCAGCTCCAGAGCCAGCTCCAGCTGCGGTTCCAGCTTCAGCACCGACTCCAGCGCAGACTCCAATGCCGGCTGCAGCACTGGCTCCAGCTGCGGCTCCAGCGCAGGCTCCAACGCCAGCTTCAGCACCGGCTCCAGCTGCGGCTCCAGCGCAGGCTCCAACGCCAGCTTCAGGGCCAGCGCCAGTCTGAGCTCCAGCCCCAGCTGCAGCTTTAGATAGTCTAGGGATCTCCATGTGAGTCTAGGGGTCTCCGTGTGCGTCTAGGGGTCTCCGTGTGAGTCTAGGGTCTCCGTGTGAGTCTAGGGGTCTCCATGTGAGTCTAGGGTCTCTGTGTGAGTCTAGGGGTCTCCATGTGAGTCTAGGGGTCTCCGTGTGTCTAGGGGTCTCCGTGTGAGTCTAGGGGTCTCCGTGTGCGTCTAGGGGTCTCCATGTGAGTCTAGGGGTCTCCGTGTGAGTCTAGGGGCCTCCATGTGTGTCTAGGGTCTCCATGTGAGTCTAGGGGTCTCCGTGTGAGTCTAGGGGTCTCCGTGTGAGTCTAGGGGTCTCCGTGTGAGTCTAGGGGTCTCCATGTGTGTCTAGGGGTCTCCATGTGTGTCTAGGGGTCTCCATGTGAGTCTAGGGGTCTCCATGTGAGTCTAGGGGTCTCCATGTGTGTCTAGGGGTCTCCGTGTGAGTCTAGGGGTCTCCATGTGAGTCTAGGGGTCTCCATGTGTGTCTAGGGGTCTCCGTGTGAGTCTAGGGGTCTCCGTGTGAGTCTAGGGGTCTCCGTGTGTGTCTAGGGGTCTCCGTGTGAGTCTAGGGGTCTCCGTGTGAGTCTAGGGGTCTCAGTGTGAGTCTAGGGGTCTCCGTGTGAGTCTAGGGGTCTCCGTGTGAGTCTAGGGGTCTCCGTGTGAGTCTAGGGGTCTCCGTGTGAGTCTAGGGGTCTCCGTGTGAGTCTCGGGGTCTCCGTGTGAGTCTAGGGGTCTCCGTGTGAGTCTAGGGGTCTCCGTGTGAGTCTAGGGGTCTCCATGTGTGTCTAGGGGTCTCCATGTGAGTCTAGGGGTCTCCGTGTGTGTCTAGGGTCTCCGTGTGAGTCTAGGGGTCTCCGTGTGAGTCTAGGGGTCTCCGTGTGAGTCTAGGGGTCTCCATGTGTGTCTAGGGGTCTCCGTGTGAGTCTAGGGTCTCCATGTGTGTCTAGGGGTCTCCGTGTGAGTCTAGGGGTCTCCGTGTGAGTCTAGGGGTCTCCGTGTGAGTCTAGGGGTCTCCATGTGAGTCTAGGGGTCTCCGTGTGAGTCTAGGGGTCTCCGTGTGAGTCTAGGGGTCTCCATGTGAGTCTAGGGGTCTCCGTGTGTGTCTAGGGTCTCTGTGTGAGTCTAGGGGTCTCCGTGTGAGTCTAGGGGTCTCCATGTGTGTCTAGGGTCTCCATGTGAGTCTAGGGTCTCCGTGTGTGTCTAGGGGTCTCCGTGTGAGTCTAGGGGTCTCCGTGTGAGTCTAGGGGTCTCCATGTGAGTCTAGGGTCTCCATGTGAGTCTAGGGGTCTCCATGTGTGTCTAGGGGTCTCCGTGTGAGTCTAGGGGTCTCCGTGTGTCTAGGGGTCTCCATGTGTGTCTAGGGGTCTCCATGTGAGTCTAGGGGTCTCCGTGTGAGTCTAGGGTCTCCATGTGAGTCTAGAGGTCTCCGTGTGTGTCTAGGGGTCTCCGTGTGAGTCTAGGGGTCTCCGTGTGAGTCTAGGGGTCTCCATGTGAGTCTAGGGGTCTCCGTGTGAGTCTAGGGGTCTCCATGTGAGTCTAGGGGTCTCCGTGTGTGTCTAGGGGTCTCCGTGTGAGTCTAGGGGTCTCCGTGTGAGTCTAGTGGTCTCCATGTGTGTCTAGGGGCCTCCATGTGAGTCTAGGGGTCTCCGTGTGTGTCTAGGGGTCTCCGTGTGAGTCTAGGGGTCTCCGTGTGAGTCTAGGGGTCTCCGTGTGAGTCTAGGGTCTCCATGTGTGTCTAGGGGTCTCCGTGTGAGTCTAGGGGTCTCCATGTGTGTCTAGGGTCTCCGTGTGAGTCTAGGGGTCTCCGTGTGAGTCTAGGGGTCTCCATGTGAGTCTAGGGGTCTCCATGTGTGTCTAGGGGTCTCCGTGTGAGTCTAGGGGTCTCCGTGTGAGTCTAGCGGTCTCCGTGTGAGTCTAGGGGTCTCCGTGTGAGTCTAGCGGTCTCCGTGTGAGTCTAGGGGTCTCCGTGTGAGTCTAGGGGTCTCCGTGTGAGTCTAGGGGTCTCCGTGTGAGTCTAGGGGTCTCCGTGTGTGTCTAGGGGTCTCCGTGTGAGTCTAGGGGTCTCCGTGTGAGTCTAGTGGTCTCCATGTGTGTCTAGGGGTCTCCATGTGAGTCTAGGGGTCTCCGTGTGTGTCTAGGGGTCTCCGTGTGAGTCTAGGGGTCTCCGTGTGAGTCTAGGGGTCTCCGTGTGAGTCTAGGGGTCTCCATGTGTGTCTAGGGGTCTCCGTGTGAGTCTAGGGGTCTCCATGTGTGTCTAGGGGTCTCCGTGTGAGTCTAGGGGTCTCCGTGTGAGTCTAGGGGTCTCCGTGTGAGTCTAGGGGTCTCCATGTGAGTCTAGGGGTCTCCATGTGTGTCTAGGGGTCTCCGTGTGAGTCTAGGGGTCTCCGTGTGAGTCTAGCGGTCTCCGTGTGAGTCTAGGGGTCTCCGTGTGAGTCTAGCGGTCTCCGTGTGAGTCTAGGGGTCTCCGTGTGAGTCTAGGGGTCTCCGTGTGAGTCTAGGGGTCTCCGTGTGTGTCTAGGGGTCTCCGTGTGAGTCTAGGGGTCTCCGTGTGAGTCTAGGGGTCTCCATGTGTGTCTAGGGGTCTCCATGTGAGTCTAGGGGTCTCCGTGTGTGTCTAGGGGTCTCCATGTGTGTCTAGGGGTCTCCATGTGAGTATAGGGGTCTCCGTGTGAGTCTAGGGGTCTCCGTGTGAGTCTAGGGGTCTCCATGTGAGTCTAGGGGTCTCCATGTGTGTCTAGGGGTCTCCGTGTGAGTCTAGGGGTCTCCATGTGTGTCTAGGGGTCTCCATGTGAGTCTAGGGGTCTCCGTGTGAGTCTAGGGGTCTCCGTGTGAGTCTAGGGGTCTCCATGTGTGTCTAGGGGTCTCCATGTGAGTCTAGGGGTCTCCGTGTGTCTAGGGGTCTCCATGTGTGTCTAGGGGTCTCCATGTGAGTCTAGGGGTCTCCGTGTGAGTCTAGGGGTCTCCATGTGTGTCTAGGGGTCTCCATGTGAGTCTAGGGGTCTCCATGTGAGTCTAGGGGTCTCCGTGTGAGTCTAGGGTCTCCGTGTGAGTCTAGGGGTCTCCGTGTGAGTAGTGTATAATAGTGTATATTGTAGTGTATAGTGTAGTGTATCGTGTAGTGTGTAGTGTATCGTGTAGTGTATACTGTAGTGTATACTGTAGTATACTAGTATAGCACACACCGATTGTGTGTTGGAGAGTAAACCCCCTGCAACATTTACGTTTCGCTGGTATTGACAACAACCACAACAACAACCACCAGCATCATCATCATCATCATCAGCCGGACAGCCACGGAGTTGTGGAGAAAATCCTCCTGCTGTTTCGGTCTTAATCGACGCGGCCTGGGATAAATGCGATGTCGTCGCTTGCGAGCCAATCGGGTGCGGAGGTGAGAGCCGTCTCGGATAACGGGGAAAGGGAGGGGGGTGGTTACCGGGGAAGGTTCTAAGACATCGCCTGCCTCGAGGTGCTCGATGCATTGATCCTGCCGTGCATGCAAAACGAGCCCGGCAAGGGAGAGGAGGCGGTGGAGTTGGGGTTAACGCGCGCGTGCGCGCCATCGCCCTGCCACCAGGGCTACGTAATTTATCACGAAAGTCCGCCCGGCAATAAATTGGGAAATAGCAAGTATCGACCCACAATTTTTTTTTTTTAATACACATCGGTCCCGGCAGAACGCGGGCGGGCGCGAGATGAAGGTCGTCCGCGATGTCTAAAACGATTAAGCCGCCGGCGATTCGCAGAGCTCCCGCCGCGATCGGGTGACGGCGGTCGGAAATAATTTCGGGCCCTAGCGCGTGGCGCAATTCCACTGCTGGATGAAGGCGTCGACGTCGCCGTTGCCTCGGGCCGTGTTTGGCCGGACTTTGGAAATGTTTGCGTCTTGCACGGGGCTACCTGGCCCAAACTGTTTTACGCAGGAAAATTAAAAGACGATGTTTTTTTTTATTAACCGTTTGTGTTTCTTTTTTTCTCTCTCTCAAGTTTAAAAAGCGCGGACCCATTAGCTCTGTACCTTGGAGCTGTGCCGGATTATCCTTGTAGGAAAAAGTAGCCACGTTTGCTACGGGCCACGGCGCTTTCAAGGGCCCCCGCGCTAAACGCTTTCAAGCCATCATTTTCCGGTTCAGTGATTCTGCATTTGCTCATTGGCCTTTTTCGGTAAAGTCACGTATGTAGAAATACCATGAAATTACATTAAAATAAATCAATCACGACGTTAATTCTTTATTGATTCTGCACTTGCTCTATTACTATAGTACTATACCGCCTTCAACTTTTATGAACGACTGGGTCCATCTTCTTTGGTCCTTTCGGTAAAGTCACGTAGAATGAGAATAAAATAATAAATTGATAAAATAAAATAACACAATAAAATTCTCACGACGTTTCGGCCACAACACAAGTGGCCTTCTTCAGGTGAGAGGAACAGACCTGTCGGGACGACAGAATTTTATTGTGTTATTTTATTAATTTATTATTTTATTCTCATTCTACGTGACTTTACCGAAAGAACCAAAGAAGATGAATCCTTGCAATCACAATAGCTTTAAATCGAAAAATGACTGGGTCTTTAAGGTTAGCGATTTTTCGTATTATCTGGGCTGTATGGCAAATACAAAATATACAACTACTTTATTATGCAAATTTAAAAAAAATAATCGCGTTTTAATATTTAAGTGTTTTATTTTATTTAGGGCCCATTTATAACATCGGCTACAGGCCCCGCACGAGCTTCATCCGGCACTGCCCTGGAGTCACGGTAACTCCCGTGCAGGTGATCCCGCACGAGTTGAAACTCGAGTGAAGAAAACCGGAGGGGACACAGCACACTCCTAATGTTACAGAAAGGTGTCCGACTTGGGATCGACATCTCCCCACCCGAGATGGTAGGGGGGGGGGAGAAGGATGCCGGTGCGGTTCTCTGGAACCTCTCTCCTCTCTGCGAGACTTAACACGGAAAGTAAAATAAAGTACTTTAACAAAAAAAAAGTTTCTTAAAAACAAGGGTTTTATTAACAGCTTCGTTAGACGCGCGTCATTGGCGGCCGAGACACGCGGCGCCTGCTTTT